AGCCCGGCCCTTCAGCGTCCCCATGCTCTGCATAGGGACGCTGAATTTTCCTCATAGAGATGCATTGATTCAATGTATCTATATTAGGAGGTGCTAATTGGCCAAAATGGTGTAGGAATTGGCTTTTAGGGACGCCATCCAACCAAGGTTTACGCCTCCAAAGAAATTGTTCAGACACTAAAGATTTTAAAGAACAGACACAATCACTGAAAGAAAAATTTATTAATAAAAACTATCCACAGGATAACCTTAATAAAACTCTAGAAATAGTCACCAATAAAGATTGAAAGGAACTTTTAGAATACAAACAAACAAAAAAAAACCCGAAGGACTCCATTTATTCCTGTAATTTTTAATTTTAATAATAGAAGCACAATTATAAAGAAAAACCTTAATAATTACTGGCACATTTTAAAACAAGACACCGTTTAAGAGATTGCAGCGCTGTACAATTAGTGGAGAACGTACAATATACACAGACAAATACAAGAGGTAGAGAGAAAGCCCTGCCCGTTAGCTGATATCTAGACCACACAAACAAAAATTCCACCTTTTTTTCTAACTCTAAAGGCGTTTTAAATTGTATAGTATGTAAAACCACAGCATAAAGACAAAAGCTACACATTTTACATCCCACAAAACAAAAAAATCATACCCTATAAAAGACATTGTGAGCTGCCACACTAAAATTTTATATATTTACTTGAATGTCCATGCGGCTTACAATATGTGAGCATAACCTCGCGATGTCTAAAAACCAGACTGGCAGAACATTGCTGCAACATTGTTAAAGGCTATCCAAATCATTCCGTGTCAAAACATTTTTTAATACATAAAAAAAAAAAAATAAATAAATAAATACCTAAAATGTAAAGGGATACAAAGATGCAAACTCCCATGGAGAGGTGGTGATATCAAAAAGATTTTAGGTCAGAAAGAAATGTACTGGGTTTTCCTTTTAAAAACACTTAACCCAGAAGGGTTAAATGCAGATTTGGACCTTTACATTTTTTTTATAGTTCTTTATCACCTCTTAAACAATGATGTATTTAATATTTAGTTTTTATGCTATTAATTTTTATTGAACTAATAAGCCTTTAAGTACCATGTAAATATTTATTTGCAGCAACCTGTCATTTTTGTATTTATTCTTATTCATAATTATTTTAATTTATTTCCCTTTATATAAGGTTTATGTAATATGTATGCATCTTTCCCTTTCTCCTTATGTATCCACTATAATATATGTACTGATTGCACAGTAACATCTATATCCCTTCATTATATTCCCCCTCTTCTCCCTTCTCCCATTTTATATTTTATTTGGGCTTATTTTGCCCATTCAGTCAGCCTTTTGTGCCCCCACTTTGTATATTTTATTTACCACGAACATAATCCACGACCATAGCTTATCCCTCCCTCCCACCCTCACAGCATGATTAGCTGTATATGTTCCCCTGCCGACGGCATTTAACCACGCCCTTGGCCGAGAACCAAGCCCCAGGGGCGTATTAGCCACGAGGCAAACAAGGCATTTGCCTTGGGCGGCATTTTTCAGGGGGCGGCAAAAAACGCCGCCCCCAAATGCCCAGGGCAAATGCCTTGTTAGCCTTGCGGCTAACTGACCTGCTGGGCGGGTGGCTGGCGAGAGAGCTCTTCCTCTGAGCTGACTGCTCAGCTCCCTCGCGCGCCGCAGAGTGAGGCTGGGAGCCGGAAGATGACGTCATATTCCGGCTCCCAGCCTCACTCTGCGGCGCGCGAGGGAGCTGAGCAGTCAGCTCAGAGGAAGTGCTCCCTCGCCAGCCGCCCGCACAGCAGCCAGCTTGGGGGGGGATTAAAAAAAAGTAAATGTGAATGATTGTGTGTGTGTGTCTGTGTCTGACTGTGTGTGTGTCTGTGTCTGACTGTGTGTGTGTCTGTGTGTGTGTCTGTGTCTGACTGTGTGTGAGTGTATTTAGAAGGTGGGGGGGAAGGGTTGGCGCGGGGGAGGGGGGCACCTGAGTTTTGACCTGCCTAGGGCAGCACAAAACCAGGATACACCACTGCCTCTACCTCTGTCAACACACTCCCTCCCCTCAGCCCGGCATATTTAGCCACCCATCCTACTTACTACATTTACCAATACCCTTAGCGGCCCGAATTCCAATATGGATGGCGATCACATGACCAAAAATAACGATTTTACCCCTATTTACAGCCCTCGTTTTAATATGAAAATTTAGGGGAAGATGCCCTGTATGATAGAATATATATTTTTTGTATTTTAAAAATGTACATTGTTTTTGATGATGTCATTTGGGCGCCAAATCTTTTTACTGTTTAAAATCAGTCCCCCTATATAAACCCTACCCTACCAAGCATACTTTTTTGTTTCCACTTGAGAAAGCCATCATAGGTGAAACGCATTGTGGATATTTTAACATTTTATTCTGTATTCCAAATAAAGGTATTTTGGCTACTTTTAACATACTTTGATTGTGCCATTTTACTTTATTCCATTTTAATTTTTTACTACTGCTGCTTGGTATCCTAATTTTATTCTTCCTGCTGATTATTACTCCAAAGAAATCCTAGGTGGGGATTATAGCACTTACGCCTGAGTCATTGAGCAGTTTGCCTGCTCAATCATATGCAAGTACACATTTTATTACTTATACTCCTCATATATAATTTTATACAGCGAGCACCATCAGTTTGTCTCTCTTTTCTCTTATGGTCTACATATTGGTACAATACTTACCACTCAACACGTATCCTATAAGCGGGGATTATACAGCTGTACACCATCCATACTAGAGCTGGTTCAAGCTCTACTGCACGTGAGTAGGATTATATTAGACCCTGTTGTTGTATTACTTACCCATCTATACTAGACGTACTGCATCTGTCTTTTTCTTCCACATACGGATTAAAAGACCAATACCCCTCTACGTATCCTACAAGCAGGGATTGTACCGCTGTATACCATCCACACTAGAGCTAGTTTAGCTCTACTACACGTGAGTAGGATTACCATAGACCCTTTCTTCCTGGTATCCAACTTTTGTACTATAAGCAAACAAGATGAAGAACATTGTGGCAAAGGGGAGATGGGATTGATGGATATGATGCATGTGTTAAAATAAGCTAGTAAAAGTGGTACCTAGAAGAACTGAAGAGTGGAATGAGTGGCAGGGGAGGAAATTGTAATTAGAGGATTTACAAATAGAGAGACCACCACATATTAACCCACCTAGCTACCTACCATCTCTTTCCAGCTACTTGCCCTCTCCTACTTACATATTAACTCCCAATTTACATGCCCTCGCTTACCTACAGATTGATCCCCAAATTACTTGCCCTCTCCTACCTACATATTTACTCCCCAGCTATCTGCCCTCTCCTACCTACACATTAACCCTCCAGCTACCTGCCTTCTCTCACCATTAACCCCCAAACATAGATCAACTCCACCAGTTACCCATCTTCTCTTAACTAGATATTAACCCCACAGACTACTGCCCTCTCCAACCTACATATGAATGACATGAATAATACCATAACAAAATGTGAAATGCATATAGTCTAATTGTTAGTAGTTGTCTTGGAGGCACCATCAGCTTGATATTCTCTTTGGCCATACTATACAGGAGATAATTCACATTTCAGATAGCTCCGAATTTTTTTTTTAACATCAGTTGCTTGAAGAGAAACTGTCCCTTCCACTATGCTATACCATTACATGTTTACTGGAATGATGAGACCAGCAAAAATAAATGTAACTTACTTACTTCTACTGCATTGTATTGCTTGGTGAGCTTTGCCTCTCCACGATGCCTTTGACAAGCACTTGGACATCTAACAGAAATTAGATGTTTTTGTTATATGAACAAAGACTTGACAGCTTTAACATATATATCTGCCAGAGAATTTTAAGAAGTATATTTCCACACAGCAGCAGCAGCTACTATTTACAGCTACCACCATTAACCTACCTGGCGGTAATCCCGAGTGTGGCTCGGAGTTAATTTTCAGTACCAAAAGTGATAACCCTGAGCCACGCTCGGGATTACACTGTAGTATTACTTACCTTGTCCCTACGAGCCCCTGGTGTCCTCCCGCAGTGACCCCCATCCGATGCCAGCAACTGTCTTCCTGGTTCCCTTTCTCTGCGTTTGCCGCCTGGGGAACCAGGCGTGAAATAAAAATAAAAAAGTACACATACACAGAATACATTGTAATGCATTAGAATTATTTTTTATATTATAATTTATGATTTCATGTTTTAAACTTTATCATACACTGGATGTCTACTAGACTCTTGTTTGGACAGATTTAAGTGAGTTATTCCTAAGAATTACAAGCCTACAATATGAAACAACAAATTTACATTCAAAACAATGTACCTCTTGTAACAAACCACCTCTTTTTCAGGTAGGATTGTCACCGATCTTGCAGTAACCACAGCCTTCTAGGGTATACAAAGTCCAGGACACCTTCAGCTCAGTTTTTCTTTTTTTTCTTTTTTTTTTTTTTTAATTCTTTATTTTTGTTTGTGCAAAGAGTAACAACAAGCGAGCAAAGCCACGATAGCATCTGCAGGCATTTTTCATTACATTTCAGAGTGTGGCAGTTAAAAAGGCACAATTTTTTAAATAACATGAGGTTAACAGGCTTTTAAACATCAGTGGTTTATATATTAGCATGCTAGATTAAACATATATATATAAAACAAGGTTAGTTGCGCTGAGGCTTCTAAAAATTGAACATTGCAGCGATAAACTAGACAGCTGTTATGATTAGTGTGAGATTACATTGTCGACTACAGGGAAATACCAGCAGATTCACCATCCGTTTGGACAAGCTTAAGGTGCCCCTTTAGTGAGATATTGCATGCGCTGTTAGAGTGGAGACAAGGTGGGCAACACATTAGTAAACTGCAAGAGGTAAAGGTAAAATAAAGACATTGGAAGAACATCAGTTACTCTATGCTGAACTAACGGTCAGAGATCCGTTCCTGCGGTATAAGGCATACTGTGAAAGTCCTGCAGTAACGAGACATGCCTGGCAGGCTCCGGTCTCCAGTCTGTGTTCATCCGATCCCTTCCGGTCGCCAGATGCAGTCTCCGGGAGCCCCTGTCTCCTGAGACTTCAGAGGTGTAGATATGGCTAGGTGCCAGGTATCTGGGTGGTAAAGTTGCGCTTTAGCAGTCGATCGGCGTTGTCCTGGTGGGCTTGGCGCTTTTAGTCCGCTGTGGGGTTGTTGCAGCTTACATTGGGGGTGTGTGCTTGTCATGGTGAAGGCTCTACGTTTCTGCTTGTGCCACCGGACCTGTTTTCGGTGTCTCTTTGGGTGGTCTCTGGCGGCTATCATTCTGCGTCCCCTCTTGGTGTCCGGGAGTGCGGGTGGTGTGGGTGCAAGAGTGGTACGATTGGCTTTAGCCGTGTTCAATGACCTCTCCGCAATCCTGGTCCAAAAGGCAGCAAAAATTGCATCTAGCTTAGTCAGGGTGTAGTTTGGCGGTTTTCCGCTTGTCTCCAAGTTTGCTGACTGGCGTGTGGTATCCACCATTTTGGAGTTAGGGACTCGTGGTGTTCGCAGTCTTTGGGACGTGAGTGTCAGCGGTGGGTATACTACTGGTGCCGGGATATCCCCCACCGCCAGGGAGGGGAGGGAGAAGGCTCGTGGGTGGACCTCCGCAGTGTCTGAGTTTGCTTTCAGGGGGTTCCGGGCCGGGCAATCGGCCGCCTCACCCATGCCCTCACCTCCTTCCAGGCCACTATTCAGGCTATTCGTCACTGCGGTAGGCCCCATCAATGCAGCCCGCCTTCCTGGCGGCTTAGAGTTTCAGGAGTAACTTCTGTATGTTCTCCTTTGCAGCCCCTACCTGGGTGATGCAAATTCAAACACTTTTGCAGCATGAGAACTGGGGTTATTTCGAGTAAAACAGGATTTCAGACGAGAGCTCTTGCTGCACGCATCTGATCAGCTCCCCAGCCAGGCTCCGCCCCCCTCAGTTTTTCTTTTTATTCAGTAAGAAAACAGGTTCTTTAAATAATAACAAAAACAAACAAAATCCCTTGCTCTTACTAGACAGTAATTGCTATCTGCAATTGGGTGGCTTTCCCACTTACCAATTTTCCAAACAAAAGAAATGGCTTTGCAATAAACACACTTGTCTTTCACTCTCCTAGCTGTCTTTTCCTCCCTCACTCTGCAGCAGGCTGCCCTCTTCTTTTAAAGGCCTGTCTACTAATTGAGTAGCTACAGGTGAGTGCCAATTAGTTAACTCTTAAAATCAGATCCAAGCTGTGGTCTGTTATACAGCAACTAGTGCTGTTGGAGCATTGACCCACCCTGCTCTCCAAATACTCCGCCCCAGGGACCCATACCATGTTTTGCAGAGCATCAGCTATGCATATTGCAAACTTTAACCTCTCTCCCTGGGGCATTTAACTGAAAACCCTCTGGTTGCTGTTTAGCAAATCAGGTCTGATGTATCTCCCATCAACCACTATTCCACCTTTACGCTCACACTCTTTAACATTCAAAAATACTGACATAATCAGACCGCCAGGGAGATTAAACTAAGGCCTCTCCCAAATTATTATGTTGCAAGAGTAGCAGGGGAGAAAAGACATTTGGTTTTGTGGTTAAACACACACATTCCACAGTTTAGCCTATAACCAACAGAAATGAAAAAGAAAATCAAAAAGACGTTAAACCTGTACATTTGCATTTTGTGCATATGTTTTTGTATATTTTAAATATATTTAAAAGAGTTCAGTTCAAGCCTGTAGTGTTACTTTACTAAGAATTCATATGCCTCAGTCATGTGATTTATTTATTTTTACTTCTAAAAAAAAAATCCCACTTTAAATAATATTCACATTTCCATTACGTTTCATTTTCACACCTCCAGCCAAGCTAGCTCCTGGTAAATGCAAGATATACAAATAAGGCTATCTTTATCACTGTTTAATAATTACATCAGTACACAACAGATTTCCTGCATTCATTCTGACCTCCTTGGCAGCACTAGCTATGGAATGTTTCAGATAAACAATATATGGGAATAAAAAAAATGGAAACCTCACACGACAGTACATCATGCTGCTAAATCCAAGCAATTAGACCTTTGTTGCTTACGTCAGAAAATAAACATGCTATAAAACAAACAACCTCAAATTCTAATGGAAACATTCAAAATAAATTTCACATATCAACTGTATTAAGCAGAATGACACCATCCCCAGTCAAGGTCTTCATCATCATAATAACCTTTTTTCTAACCGTAGACATCACCATCATAACAACACACAACAACAAAGCATTAAAGAATTACGTTAAGCACCATGAACACCTCTTATTCATTATTGAGGATGGTGCCAGAGAAGCAGGGCCGGACTGGCCCACCGGGATACCGGGAAATTTCCTGGTGGGCCGCGGCACCTGGGGCCGGTCTGACAGCTCCTGTGATGCCGGCGGCCGTGTGTGAGCTGTGGCCGCACAGAGCCCCATGGGAGCAGGGGGAGCCAGGCGGCCGGCTCACACATGGCCGCCCGGGATCATTTAAAAAAAAAGAAAAAAATTGTGGCGGGGCGGGGCTTAGCGTGCGGCGGGGCCGGCTGACTGCAGCATGGGAAGCAGGAAGGAGTCCCTGCTTCCCCAACAACAAGCCTCCAGGAGCTCCAAGCAGGAGGGAAGAAGGAGGTCAGTGTGTCTGTGTGAGTGTGTGACTGTGTGTGTAACTGTGACTGTGTGTGTGACTGTTAGTGTGTGTTTGTGTGTGACTATCTGTGTGTGCGTGTGACTGCCTTTGTGTGTGACTGCCTGTGTTTGTCTGTCTGTGACTGTGTGTGTGTGTGTGTGTGACTGTCTGTGTGTGTCTGTCTGTGTGTGTGACTGTGTGTGTGTGTGTAACTGTCTGCCTGTGTGTGTGGCTGTCTGCCTGTGTGTGTGTGGCTGTCTGCCTGTGTGTGTGTGTGGCTGTCTGCCTGTCTGTATGTGTGGATGTTTGCCTCGGTGTCAGTGACTGTCTGCCTCTGTGTGTGTGTGCGCACCTGCTAGTGAGGGAGCCTCTGTGTGTGTGTGCCTGCTAGTGAGTTTGTGTGTGTGTGCCTGCTAGTGAGTGAGCTTGTATGTGTGTCAGTGAGCTTGTCTGTAGGGATCATATGTGTGTGTTAGTGAGCTCTTGTCTGTAAGGAGTATGGGTGTGATCGTGGGCTTGTCTGTAGTGAGCGTGTGTGTCAGTGAGCTTGTCTGTAGTGAGCGTGTGTGTCAGTGAGCATGTGTGTCAGTGAGCGTGTGTGTCAGTGAGCGTGTGTGTAGTGACCATATGTGTCAGTGAGCTTGTCTGTAGTGAGCGCGTGTGTCAGTGAGCTTGTCTGTAGTGACCATATGTGTCAGTGAGCTTGTCTGTAGTGAGCGTGTGTGTCAGTGAGCTTGTCTGTAGTGAGCATGTGTGTGTCAGTGAGCTTGTCTGTAGTGAATCTGTGTTAGTGAGCTCTTCTGTAGGGAGCATGTGTGTGTCAATGGGCTTGTCTGTAGGGAGAGTGTATGCGCATCAGTGAGCTTGTCTGTAGTGAGCGTGTGTGTGTGACAGTAAGCTTGTCTGTAGTAAGCTTGTGTGTGTATCAGAGTTTGTCTGTACTAAATTTGTGTGTCTGCCAGTAACCTTGTCTGTGTGTGTCATTGAGATTGTCTGTCAATGAGCCTATTTGTGTGCATCAGTAAGATTGTCTGTGTCTGTGTGTGAGTATGCTTTACTGTATAATTTAATTACCCTGAAAGGACTAATATTTTGAATTAGAAGAAGAAATGTATCAATATATATATATATATATATATATATATATACACACACACACACACACACACACACACACATACATTAAAGGACCACTCTAGGCACCCAGACCACTTCAGCTTAATGAAGTGGTCTGGGTGCCTGGTCCAGCTAGGGTTAACCCATTTTTTCATAAACATAGCAGTTTCAGAGTGCTATGTTTATGAATGGGTTAAGCCTTCCCCTATTTCCTCTAGTGGCTGTCTCATTGACAGCCACTAGAGGCGCTTGCGTGCTTCTCACTGTGATTTTCACAGTGAGAGCACGCCAGCGTCCATAGGAAAGCATTGTTAATGCTTCCCTATGTGACCGGCTGAATGAGCGCGCAGCTTTTGCCGCGCGTGCGCATTCAGCCGACGGGGAGGAGAGAAGGAGGATTGGAGGAGGAGAGCTCCCCACCCAGCGCTGGAAAAAAGGTAAGTTTTTACCCCTTTCACCCTTCCAGAGCCGGGCGGGAGGGGGACCCTGGGGGTGGGGGCACCCTCAGGGCACTATAGTGGTCCTTTAATATAGAACACCCTACATAGCACAATGACTTATGGGGCTGGCATAGATTTTTTTCCAGGGCTGCTTCGTATCCCCAGTCCGGCCCTGCAGAGAAGGCCTAGCATCATACCATTATAGCGGGCTCAGCTGATGCTGTCAGCCAATGAATGGACAGCAGGATAGACATACATCTTCTGAATCTCTGCGGTTTAACGTCTGCCCAGGGAGGCTTCTGGGACCCTGCAAGGAGGCAAACTCCTGCAAAATGGTTTGCCCCATTACTTATTGGGATATAGTACTTCTAGCATCATAATCACTGCAGCTGACTGTGGTGGTCAGTGTTCATTTTGCCAGCAAATTTCGATGTATTTATAGTCATAGTCTTTAGACTTGAATTCCATTTAATTTTAGTCATACTTTGGTCATCTCAATTGTTTAGTTTTTGTTTAGTTTTAGGAGACTAAATATCCTAAGATTTTCACTGATGAAATCTGCAGTAGATTTAGTCAATGAAAATCTTAGGATAGCTAAATATTTACTCCTCCATGAATTTAAACCTAAAATCTAATCGGTTTAAATTTGTGTCGGAGTAAACATCCTACTCCTTGGTTTTGCACCCCTCCCTGTCACAGGTGCCTCATCCCAGGGCCCTATTTAGCCTTGTACTGCAGAGAGCCCCAGATGGAATTATTATATTATGAAAAAAATAGTTATGTTCAAGTATAAATTTAATTGCCATTAAGATGAAATTTTGAAGAGCATCATCAACCTCTGGATCATTTTTTATGAAAAATTGGACTGCTTCAATACCCAATTGGTGATGGATTACAGTGTATAATGATGTCACGTCCAATGTTGCCCAACTATATTCATCTTTCCAATCGATATCCTCAAATTCATGTAAAATCGCTGCAGTAATATATATTTTTTACCTTTATGACAATATTTTTGATATTTTGTATATTGTTGAGACATCTTGCATAGGATGTAAGTCCTATTTTTCCATTGGATGATGATCTATTCTTGTTATATATATGTTTTAATTTGTATTATGAGAGTTATTTTATTAACTGCCGCTATTATTCTAAGACTATTTCTAGTTTATCCAGCCACTCGAGTGGCTTGTTATCTGGAACGCATACATCTAGTCTTGGAACGCAACTTCAGCGTCCATGACGTCTGTTGATATCCGAAACCGGAAATACGTATGTGGAACGCAACCGGAAGTTGACATTTGGAACGCATATTATTGATGTACAGACGGACGGAAAACCAGCTGAATTTAGCCGCGAGTTTTTAAGTGAAGATCACCTGGAAGAAATATTCCCTCATTGAAGAGGTGTTTCCATGAACAAGTTCTCCAATCAACACATGGACTGGTTATATTTAAGGGACTCTGTTGGGGGTGGGAATTATGCATGCTTTGTATTTTATATACTGTTTGTACTGCACAATTATCTCTGAGGAAGTCCGAAACGCGTTAGATTGCAGTTCATTTTATATTCAAATTATTGATTTTAAATTAAGGCTTGTTAGTGCCTTTAACAATAAAAGGATTTTTTACATTCTACTGGCATACTCCCATATCTTGGAAGACAGAGTTACCTATTCGTGGAGGGTGAACATCACTGCAGCCCATTGTGGGCTTAAAGGCGCATTACTCATCATTATTTTGTGAGTGCAATCATTGTG